GGCTGTTCAGAGTAGCTGGAACATTTCTGATGCAGGAGATTGAAGAGGAGGAGATCAGGACGGGGAGGAGAGATTAAAAAGACTTAATGTCACTTTAGTCCTCTTCAGCCCTCCTCCCTCTCCTCCTTCCCTCCCTCCCCTCCCCTCCCTCTCCCTCGCTCCCTCCCTCGCTCTCTCTCCTCCTCCTCCTCCTTTATCTCGCCCTCGTTCTACCACCCTCTCTCTCTCACTCTCTCTCTCTCTCTCTCTGCAGGTGCACATAAGAGTCCTCAGATGAGTGTATTCTTTTCATGACAAGATTGAAAGCACTTCATCTGTAACCTGCACACACAACTTGTGTGTGTGTGTGTGTGTGTGTGTGTGTGTGTGTGTGTGTGTGTGTGTGTGTGTGTGTTTGCGGAGAGTGTCAAGGTGTGTGTGTTTGTGTGTGTGTGCTCATGCACCAGATGTGTGTATGTTTATGTTCATACGGCAAATTGTGTGTGTTTATATCCTTTAAACAGAGTATTTTACTTTCTAAGAAGTGTGTGTATTCTGAAAAATATCTCATTAGCTGTGTGTGTGTGTGTGTGTGTGTGTGTGTGTGTGTGTGTGTATTAGAAGACAAGGCGAACCATTGAGCTGTTTTTGAAGTGAATTAACAAGTCAAATGAGTGCCGCAGCACCCTGCATAGGTTACCACACACACACACACACACACACACACACACACACACACACACACACACACACACACACACACACACACACACACACACACACACACACACACACACACACACACACACACACACACACTCCCACGCTTATCATCACAGCTTCTTTGTTGAGGAAGATGAGGCCAATTAAACCGATATCACTCTCTCGTGTTCGTTTATGCCTCCTCCTTCGTTCTCTCCTCTTTTTTCTTTTTCAAACACTTTTCCTTCTTCTCTTTTTTTTTTTATCCTGCGCTCATCTTTATTCCTTCCCTTAACTTTCCCTCTTTACTTCCTCCACGTTTTATCCATCACTCTCTCTTTCCACAATCTCTCTGCAGTTTCCTTCCTCAAACTGTTTACGATATCCGCACGTCCATCTCCACTTCGCAGTCGACCTCCTCCTCTTCTTCTGCTGTTCCTCCTTACATGTTGCATCAGTCTCCTCCTCTTTGTGTCATTCCATGTTTCTTCCTGTGTCTCCTTTTCTTACTTATGCCTAAGCGGTGAAGCGCTAACGATAATTAGCGTGATTTAAAAGTTGCTCAATAGAAAAACAACAACTGATCAATTAAACTTCGACATGTTTAAAACTGTTTCAACGTCTTCAAGAGAAGACGCCGAGCAGCCGAGCTTTATCTTCTTCTATCTTTTATTTACTCGTTTTACGTCCTCCTTCTTCTTCTATCCTCCATCAAAGTGGTACCCAACCTCTTTTTCTTTAAACCCCCTCCCCCCACCCTCCCACCCTCTCATCCTCTCTCTCTGCAGGTCTCTGCCCCCCCTAAAGACCCTCCCCAACGTCTAACACACATGTTGATTGATTTCATTAAAGAGTGACTGACGACTTTCTCTTTTAAATAAACTATCCAGTAAAACCCAATCACGCTGGACACGCCCCCTGAGCTCATCTGAGGAACCAATGGAATCATATAAATGTCATAAAACGCTGAGGTCACGCCCCCTTCATGATTTGATTGGCTGCTTCAGTCCAAAAGTGAAAATGACGAGTGCTGCGTCGACTTGAGCTGAAAAATGTTTGACCTTTTTTTTGCACGCCCGACAACCCGCTAGAAAAAACGAGAAGAGCGCCCGGCAAGGGGGCTTCTCCAGCAACGTGTGTGTGTGTGTGTGTGTGTGTGTGTGTGTGTGTGTGTGTGTGTGTGTGTGTGATCGACCCCGAAGTGTGTGACTGTTTCAGAATAAAAGAGGAAAGAGAACAAGAAGTCAAAATCTTCTTTTCTCTATTTCCAAAATTGTCTCGTTTCTTCTCTTCCTCTCGTCTGTCATGTCTCCTCTCTTTTTCTTTAACCTCCTTCTTCTTCACTTTTTCTTCCTCTAATGTGTAACATCTATTTCCTCCTCGCACGTCTTCTCTCCTTTATTTCCCTCTTCCGCTTTTGCCTCTTTTATCTCTTTTCCCGTCTCTTCCCTCTTCCACTTCTCCTCCTCTCTCTCTCTCTCTCTCTCTCTCTCTCTCTCTCCTCCGTGTTTTCTAACAGTGTGATAAATGTCCATCTGTGATTGGCCGATGCCCCCCATCGCTGTGGCGCCCGCTAGGTCGTAAACAACAGCCCGTCTCCCCCGGCAACGAGGCGTCTCCATGGACGCAGGGCCGCTAAGACGACCGACTCTGCGTGTGTGTGAGTGAGTGAGGGGGAATGCGACATCCGACGACTGCCAAGTGTGTGTGTGTGTGTTTGCTGTGTGTGTGTGTTTGCTGTGTGTGTGTGTGTGTGTGTGTGTGTGTGTGTTTGCTGTGTGTGTGTGTGTTTGCTGTGTGTGTGTGTGTGTGTGTGTGTGTGTGTGTGTGTGTGTGTGTGTGTGTGTGTGTGTGTGTGTGTGTGTGTTTGCTGTGTGTGGGTGTGTTTGCTGTGTGTGTGTGTGTTGTATATATGTTTTGCATGTTAGTGTGTGTGTGAGCTAATGAGCGATCATAAGTGAGCAAATGTTTTCTCTGGGTCCCTCTAATGTTTCACACACACACACACACACACACACACACACACACACACGTACCTGATGTGTGTGTGTGTGTGTGTGTGTGTGTGTGTGTGTGTTCCAGTAATGTGTGTGTGTCATTAGTATGCCACAGTGAGCTGTGTCCATATGTCACTAAACACAATCATGTTTTATTTATCCTGAGAGAGAGAGAGAGAGAGAGAGAGAGAGAGAGAGAGAGACCAACAGTCACTGTCAAGGGGACGTAAGGAAGGAGGAAAGGAAAGGAAGGAGGGAAGAAAAGGAACCGAAAAAAGGTATTTGAAGGAAAGAGGAAAGAGGAGGAGAAGTGAAGGTAGATATGAAATTAAAAGAAAGAAGAAGAAGAGAGGAATGAAAGGAGGAGTGAAGGACTTAAGGAAAAAAGTGATGAGCTGGAAGAGGAGGATGAAAGGAGGCTAGAAGGAGACCGAAAAGGTGACAAGCAAGGAAGATGGAGGGAGAGCATGGAGGAGAAGAGGGTCGGCGTGTTTGAAGTTGGAATTGAAGATAAGAGAGAGAGAAAGAAAGGGAGCAAGGAAAGAGTTCAGAGGTGAGAGAGGAGCAGGAGAAGTGAAAGGAAAGAAAGAGAAGAAGAGAGAGAGTGGAGGGTGAGGTGAAGGAGAAATAAAAGGAGGCAAAGAAGAAGAAGAAAGGAGGGAGAGGAGGCGGGGGGAGGATGGTGGATGTAAGGTAAGGAATGAACGAGGAGGACGCAAAGGAAGTAAAGGAAGAAAGTGGAGGATGGAGGAAGGAAGAGAGAAAGGAAATTAAGGACAAAAGAGTTGAAGTGAGGAGGGATGGAGAATCAAAAGGAGAGGAAGAAAGGAGTTAAACGAAGGGGGAAAGGATGAAGGGAAAGTAAACGAGGAAAGGTAAAAAGGGAAGGAAAGGGAAGAGAGAGAATAGGAAGACAATAATGAAGGAAAATATTAGGAAAGGAAGATGAGAAGGAGAGAAAGAGAAAAGGGGACAGAAAAAGGAAGAGCAGAAAGAACGGGTGAAGAAAAGAGGGAGATAGGAAAAGGAAAGGGAGGGAGGAGAGGAGGAGGGAGGGATGGACAGATGGAGGAGTGGGACCCCAGAGACGTGTCATTCATCACACCACCACGCAGTCTGCACTCGTTCAGCCTCTCTTTCTCTCTCTCTGCAGGTCTTCTTCTCATCTTCTTCTACACTTTTCTTCTTTTTCTTCTTCTTCTACTCATTTACTGTCAACTCCTCGACAGTCTGTCTCTCTTTTCCCTCCCTCCCTCCCTCCCTCCCTTTGGCAGTCGTTTTTTTTAGGTTCCATCATCTCCTCTGGCGACATCCCTCCATTTCTTCTTCTCTCCATATTTTCTTTCGCTCTCCGTTTTCACTTTCAGCGCCAAGACGGAAAAAATAAATCCCTCGTTTTTTTTGCGTTTTTTGCGTTTTTTCTTTTTACCCCCGTGTTTCAGAGAAAAGGTGAGGAGGGAGGGACGAACACGAGGAGACGAGGAGCGGGTTGTGAAGAAGAAAAACTTCATGTTGTGCCTTTTTCTGACCGTGTCATCTCTGATTGGTCACCTAAACAGGACACTTTGCTTTAAGCTAACTGTAGCACTAGCTATCTTTAGCTTTAACACAAAGCTACACCTAATATCACACGCATATTTAGCTTACATATTTTCTGGGTTGCAGGAATCAAAGTTAAATATCCACACTATGAAGCTTCTTAACACGAGAGCCTGACCGATTTATCATCAAGTGACTATCAGTATCGGCTGATTTAATCTCAGATATGTGCCGATTTATCTCGATTTATCCACCAGTCAAATATAATTCAATTTGCGTTTCACTGTGTTACATGTGTAATGTGGATTACAACAACACGTACATGCTCCGTTACTTTCCAGTTGAGTGGTCATCTTGTCTTCATTATAAATCTTTTTGACTGTTTGATAACTGCGTTTGAGTGATAAACACTAAGCTGCAAAGAAAGAGCTAAGAAAGATATCGGCCGATATATCGTTATCAGATTTTTCTGTCACCCTAATATTGGTATCGGCCCAAAAAAATCCCGTATCGGTCAAATGCGGATGCTCCGATTTAGTCACTCGTGTTTGACGTACACAAAGAAACTGCAGGAAGCTTTGAGTTGCAGACACTCAGATATAAAGCTTCTTCTAAATCTACAAAAACCTGAGAGGTGAATTATCGCTGAAGAGGCTAAAAAAGCCGATAGTTTGACGTGATGTATGAAGCTGTATCGACCCAGTTACACAAAGCGAGTAAGAAGGAGAACAAAGATGGAGAAAGAGTGGAGGGGAGAGGGGTTTAAAAAAGAGAAACTGGTACCCGTGTGCGACAGCAGGTTGGGGGACAGCAGGCCGGGGAGGCCCGGGTGCAGCAGCCTGGGGCTTTCCTGGATCCCTGCACCAGAGCAACGCTTCGGAGGACGGCCCGGACGAGAGCTGGAGGGGGAGACAGATAGAGACGGAGAGAGAGATTAATTAGTGTGACACAGAATCAGACTCATACAGAGCGCGAGCGAGCGAGAGAGAGAGAGAGAGAGAGAGAGAGGAACATGTTTGTGTTTTACAGAAAAGTAACCCCGTGTCTCAAAGATGATCTGATACAATTCAACTCAGCTACTATTGCAGCCATCAATCATTCATACAGCGCGGCGGCTCGGCGCAGTTCAACAGTATCGGTGACATCAAACGGCCGAATAACAAACCTCACCTCAGACACGGCGGCCCCTTTTTTTCAGAACAGCTAAAGTGCCGTAACTGAGCTCAGACGCCGTCACGTCTCTGTGTGTACATTCACAGTTCAGATCGCTGCAGCACCTGTTGGTTTGACCTGATAACTGCTCGCATATCTGGCAAACCGAGGGGTGTCCAAAACCGCCTACCAAACAAGATAATGACGTCTCTGCACACCTTGTGGCATAAATCACAAGCTGGCATCACGCAGACCAAATAGTAAAGTTGCACCTGATTGGTTGATTTCAGGACACCTCAACAGACGTCTGATTGGTCGATTTTACAGTCGGGGGTCTCCGGGGGAAACAAAGTGGCGTTTTCACACCTCAAAGCTGTAAAACCAGCAGAACCAGAACCAGTTTCCACATCATGAAATATTCCCACTTTAAGATGGAAAAAAAAAATCTCCATTTTCTTCTTCAGCTCCGACAGGAAGAAGAACTCTGATGCAAGATGTGGAAATATGTGAACTGAGATAAAATTCTCGGGGTCTTTGTGACATAAAATGTGACAAATCAAAGAACTTTGATCTCACTTGAACCCCGGATAACTCCGACGATAATATTCCTAAAATCACGACCCTTTTACACGAGTTAAACAAGCTCTTTCAAAATAAAAGCCCTCTTACAACTGGAGGTCTGACACATTGTTTTTGTAACTTTTAAGATTTAGGAAAAAAAAGTAACTCTCAGGCCTCGTGTCCACGTAGAGTTTTTCTTCTGAGCACCAGCGTCGAGTAGAGAGCGTTCCCAGCTGAAAATGGCCTCCCGGAGAATTAGCGCAGCGCCCAGTGCACTGCCTTTTCTGCCTGGAAAAAACGCTAGGTGGACACAGGGCTTTAACTTTAATGATTCTAATTTTTTCCCTGATTAAATTGAGTCCTTTAAGCCCCAAAACCATGATTCAAGATTTAAATACTATTTTGTTATTTGTCGCATTAAGAAAAGTATTTTAAAATAGAATACAGATCTTTTATTTTGAAGGTCTGTAGCCTTAGAGTGAATTGAATTTTCATTAAAGTTCCCTGAAAAAGATCCCTTAATTGAGAACTAATTAAGGGAATTAGTGGAAATAATGGACGTGGCTAATTCAGAGATCAAGTAAACCTTTCAAAGTAAACCTTTTGACTTTTGGTTGTTGTTGGGACTGTCACAAACAGCTGCAGCGAGCGGAGACCTTTACATTCAATCATCTGCATGAAAATAAATGTAGCACCAAACATCAGAATGAATTTGTAAATATTTGTAACTCTTTGGGTCTGAAGAATTCGTTCACCATCAAGTGAGAAAAGCAACGGAGAGACATTAGCATGATCGAGGCTAAATATGCTAACGCTGATGTAAAACAATGTCTCACAATCGCACGAGAGCAACACACACCGTGTTCTACATGTTCAAGAGAGCCTGAACACATCTCCAACACACACACACACACACACACACACACACTGAAGCATCTCTCTCTATTTTGGTCACAAACGCAAACCTAACCTGCTGTATTATTCATGTGCACGCAGGCATAAATAAACACACACACAGACGCGAGAATATAATAACTGCACACGTGCAACTAAACATAAAGGAAGGTACACACACACACACACACACACACACACACACACACACACACACACACACACACACAGGAGGTGTGAATGCAGGCCAACTCTCTGCAGGGTGGCTAAGTAACAGATGGCCGTCCAAAGTCATTTACACCTAGAGAGAGAGAGAGAGAGAGAGAGAGAGAGAGAGAGAGAGCGAGCGAGCGAGGACCAAAAACTAAAACCTGAACAAGACTTCAGCACGGAGCCGCAGGAACAGAAGAGAAAGGACAAAAATAAAACTGAACTCAACAGAATGGGACACAAAACTGAAGAATTCAAAACGATGGCCCTGTGTCAAAGTTTAACAACTCCAAAAAACACGACAGAAAAACTGAAACAAAATAAATTCAACCGTGTTTGTCTGCTCTTTCGTTGGCTGTTAGCATGTAGCCACCTAGCTTACAACATGCAAAAAGACTCAAGATAAGCTAGCTCAGCTAAACCATGTTTAAAGTCTTTCTATGTGATTTTTCACACTTAATATAATAGAAATCAAGTATCTCCTCTGAAAATAACTCTGTGAGTCATGACTGTCTACAATGGGTGTAACACCCGAGTCCCACTGTCTGTGATGTTTTCAGAGTTTTCAGAGTCCTATCTTCACTTTGTTTACATCGCCTGGACGGCCGGCTGACTCCTCCCCTCGAGTATAGAAGTTGTTTAATTGAGGGACTAGAGAAAAGAAGAATAACATACTGTACTCACTGCTTAACTGTGTTTCTAGATCACGCTCATTTCAGGTAAATTTACATGCAGTGTGAAGATACCAGCATAATAAAGATCGCTAGCATTAGCATGCTAACACAACAATGCAGCGCGAGTTGTTTTGGTTTCATGCTGGTGCTCAAGGGCGACATCTGCTGGATCAAAACATCACATATAAAGCCTTTAAGTCTTAAAAGGTGATTAAAAAGATGCTCGATTCTTGGTATATTTTCATGGAATTTGTGGCAAGCTCAAAGTTTTAGTCGTACGACTGCACACACAGTGAGAGCAGAGCGAGCTGAATCCCAGAGTTCAGGACTTTTTTTCCCCGACCTTTGAAATCACCGTGGAAACCGCAGGCATGCCTCTCTAATCTGTCTTCCCCCTCCGATAAAAGAAAGAAACGCTTGCTGATTTAGCCGCTAGTAAGCTCGTGTTTCAGATCGCGTGTGGATATCGTTTACGATTGTGAATGCTCCGTCCTGACTTAGCTCGTAAAGCGCGTGAGCTCAAAACGTCAACAGCTTTTGTCGGGCATCGTAAACGATTCAGCTGACATTCTGCCACGACTTTTATTCACTTCGCACAGTGTACGCCGTCGGGCTTCACCAGATACGCTCAGTTCTAGAATGTAGCATCAGGAAGTACAGAGGGCGGGGCTTAAAATGTGTTCTGGAATGACAGCTTTAAGAGCTTAGCAACAGTAACCAGGGAACTCAAAGTTCTAGAATGGAAGCTTGAGGTGCATAGCGACAGTAACTAAGGAGGGCGGAGCTTAAAGAACAGTGAGTTACTGATTATTATAGAATAGAATAGAATAGAAAAGCATTGAATAGAGAGATTTTTTTGTGAGCGTCCGTCAGATCCCACGGGGAGCGCGAGAGAGAGGTGGGAGAAAGGGCGAAAAGAGAAAAGTGTGTGAAAAGATGTGGGGAAAAAATGTCTGAAAATGTTTTGGGGTGTGATTCTGTACGTGAGAAAACACACACACACACACACACACACACACACACACACTGAGTGAGAGAGAGAGAGAGGGAGCGGGCGAGTGAGGCAGAGGAGCATGAAGAAATGAAAACATGAACCTTCACTTTTCCTATGAACTCTGCTTGACCTCTCCCTCTCTTTCTCACTCACTCAGTCACACACACACACACACACACACACACCTCACCTGTACAATGGACACACTATTCCACCTCTCTTCTAAACAGTCACACACACACACACACACACACACACATACACAGGTGTTTGCATTGAAACCTTAAAGCCTCTCCATCAACAACCCCCCCCCCCGCTACCTTTCATCTCTCCGATACACACACACACATGCAATCGACACACTTACTGTACCAGGTGTGTGTGTGTGTGTTTGTTCATCTGCATCCATCCATGTATAAGCAACATTAAGGTGTGTGTGTGTGTGAGTGTGAATCCACGTGAATCCATGCCATGTGTGTGTGCAAAGGACACATGATATCGCCTTCTCATTAGCCTTACAGTTCTTTGTTCAGAGTAATGACTGCATGTGTGTGTGTGTGTGTGTGTGTGTGTGTGTGTGTGTGTGTGTGTGTGTCCCGTAGGGTTGCCATATGTTGGGCATTAATCCTCGTCAACGGTCCACTCTCCTTACTGCACCGAGCACAGGAACAAAGAGCAGGTCACACACACACACACACACACACACACACACACACGATGCATGTACTGTAGAAGCAGAAGCTACACATATACATACATATAGGTGTGCATACCTGGTTTTAAACACACACACACACACACACACACACACTCTCAGGCCGTCCACTGACCTACATTCATTTGTAAACTTTAACCTTGACTGCAGTAAAAACGTTAAAACAGAAACAAACCTGTGTTTTCTTCTCCTCTTGTTTTAAACTCTGACAGGTAAAGACAGGTGAGTTTGTAACCTTTTCCTAAATGTTCACGTTGACACTCTGAGCGAGCCAGGCGTTCCCTCTACAAGAAGTCCAACAGGATGCGGAGCGCAGAGGAAACAGCTTGTGTCTCAGTGTCGGCCAATCAGATAAGTCGGTTCCTCCTTGATGTGATTTGGTTTCTTGAGCACACAGGAAACTCCTGACCGCAAATTAAATGATATCACCTGAGTATCAAAACGAGGACACTGACTTTTATTTGAACTCAGATTGGAAACCTGAAAGATCCACGTTCATCAGTGTTTAAAAACCAGCTGTTCCACCGATCGTCACATATTTACTTTTTATTCACCTGAGAAAACAAAAAAACAAGGCGAGCTTTCGGCCCCGTTTCCACCTATAGCGTCTTTTTCCGGGCAGAAAAAAACGCTGACTCTGCGCTCGGGAGTGTTTGCGTGAAGCGTTGAGAAAGAAAGAGCTGCACGTCCGTCCTGTCTCCATGACAACA